GTGTGTGTGTGTGTGTGTGTGTGTGCGTGTGTGTGTGTGTGTGTGTGTGTGTGAGAGAGAGAGAGAGAGAGAGAGAGAGAGAGAGAGAGAGAGAGTAGGGTAGGGTTAGCAGAAGGCGTGTGGGGAGGCCCCATGGCCGATAGCTGGATGTACTGGTGGATTAAGGCTGTGAAATCTCTAGAAATGAAAACACAATGAAAAGGTTACCACATTTCTACCTCGCCCTTTCGTAGTTATGTCTAAGGGTTGGGGGAGTGTCAGGTAGGTAGGGTGCTGATCAAGTAGGCATAATCATGACCACTGTTCCGTGTCAAAAGAGGCCTTTTTGTCAAGTTGCCGACTATCAATAAGAATCAATATCCATCGTAATCGTGAACACAACGGAACAGTATGTCCTTCAAACTCACTTTCCTATTTCAAGGATGTTTCATTGTTTCTTTGATTTTCTGGTTCCTGGGTTGGACTTCACGCTGTTAGTTTTGGCGAATTAACTACGCCCACATTGAGTACATTTCCAACATGGCGGTCATTTTTGGCATTTCTCATGTTCGATCTGTCCGGCTGATGGGCTGATTTGCTGTTGGTGCAGAGGAGGTAGGAGTCGTCGTGGAGTTCTCAAACCCACTGCAAATCACAATTGACGTTTCCTCCGTACGACTTGTATGTGATTTCTCTCCTGCGGATGAGAGCCCCAAAAGCCCAATGGTGCTTTCACCAACTTCCTTACTGAAGACAGGTATGCTGTAAGTTTCTCTTTTTAAAGTTCTTTTACCTTTTTGTTTTTTGTTTTGGTTTTTCTTTCCTGTCTGAAAGGGGTTAGCTTAACCGTATTGCACCCATCATGTTTTGAACTCCTGGTCTGTTTATCAAATGTTGCATGCGTGTAACATTCAACTATCGGACAGGTACTGACTTTTCCTCTTCCGTATTCTTGGTTTTCAGGAAGTTTTTGCTCTTTTCCCTTTTTCTCCTTTTTTCTCTTTTTTTTAACTATTGCAAGGAAATGAGCTATAGTGAAATACAGAAACCAAGCCACACCATAGTTATGAAACCAGATAGTCTTGACCTCAAACCAAAAGCAGAATTGCAACATGAAATACACCAAATAGGAGCACAGCAGAGCTCACATTGTTGGAATAGTCTCGTCATCATCATCAATGAACGAATGTTGTTCCCCTGTGTGGCGCTCGGCACCCAGACTACAACTGTCAGATCCTATCTAGCCTATCTACAAATGCTGCCGGTGACGTCAACGCTTTCCAACTGCCGTCCGCGTCAAGCACCAGGTATGTCCTCGCCACACTCACAACGTCGATCCCCCACACAGATGCTGGTCTGGGCCTCTGCCCAGAAGCTTCCGGTAGGCTTCAAGTGGCTGAGCCTCTGTCCCAGGGAATATTCCGCAAGGCCTCTGGCAGTTACGCGTGTCCAACTGCCAAACGTGCTGTGTACAGTTTGTGCCTCGTGTCTGGCCCAGGGCCTGCCTCCGATTCTCTCAGGAAGGGCTTGGAGCCCGAAACAGATGTTGTTGGGCAGGGCCTGGGGTCACTCAACCAACTGATGCTGCGTAACTGTCTGATATTTTCCCAGTTGCGGAAAACACAAAAATAGGCCTCTCGTAACTTATCAGGCCCGCCTTCACATAGGGCAGCCTTACTTACTGGAACAGGCCCAAGAAGGGCTTACCGAGGCCTTGAGCCTCGCATTCCCTCCTCCATACTTCGATAGTCCTCTAAGGAGTTCACTCAATCTGGCGCTTTCCTTTCTGCAATAACTTCTCATAATGAGCGACAACCTGTGGAGCAGTCTGCATCAGTTCCTCTCTCGTAAACCATCTGTCATCCTTTAGGTCCGTGTGGTGTCTGCAACTTCGGCTTCCATCCATGGTTGGGGGCAGCATTTACCGGGGGCAGCATTTACCGGCGAGTGGGAAACTGATCAGTCTCCAGGAAAGGTGCAAGTTTGGAGGCGTGGAAAACAGGGTAAGTACGAAGGTGACCAGGGATTGGAATAACGTAGGATGGTCCGTCAGGGGCCTCCCAAACGATGTCTAGTACCTCCCAGGGTTCGAAGTACTGTGGAATGAGCTTGCGGGAGATCCCATGCTCCTGCCCCATCTCAGAAGCCTTAACCCAGACCCTGTCCCCTACCTGGAATGTAGATGGGCGGCAATGTCGATTTTCTGATTCAATCATTGCCGCCTGCGCTTTGTGCATCTGTTCTATAGCTTGCTGCATTAGCCATTCGTATCGATAAGCAAATTTGAGAGTGCCTGGCACAACACAGACTGATTCTCAGGTAGTAGAAAGTCTAGGGCCAGCCTAGGCTTGAAGGTCAGAAATAGATCGTTTGGACTAACCCGCGTGGCGCTGTGGACTGCGTTGTTATACAGACTGGCGACGAGAGCCAGCTTTTCGTCCCAGTCTACCTGATTGGGCTTGATAAAATGCCTCAGTAGATGTTGCACAGCGCGGCTCATCTGTTCTACATGATCGTTTGCTTCTGCGTGGTTACCGGAGGTCGTCTGCAGCTGTGTTCCTTGCTCAGCAGCTGCAACTTTCCACAACTCACTAGTGAAACACACATCCCTATCACTGGCAAAACTTCCGCGTAGAGAAAGATGGGAAGGTTGAGAGAGTTCTCTATTTCCCGACTCTCCTCGTAGAAGACAACCTCCCATTCGATATGGTCCTAGGTATGGACTGGGAAGAGGCAGCAGGAGCCACATTGCATTTGAGATAGCATGAGTGTAGGCTTCCTAGTCAAGACGGCTCGCCTGTTTCATCTGTCAGAAGTAGACAACCCTATGGCACATTGATGTCTCAGTGCTCCTGCGTTCGCACGATTGGTGTAGTAGTACTTAGAAAAGCAGGTCTTTGTGGCCTTAGAAAACCAGGTCTTTGTGGCCTATGTTAGACCAATCACTGGGCCTAAGAAAGAAGAACCTACCGACCTACTTATTGCCAAGTTGTTGGAAGAGTATGCAGATTTGTCAGAGTCTCCTTCAGGAGTAGTTCCGCGTCCTATCCAACACGGCATTGAGATAGATCCAGGCAATAAGACTCCCAAGGGAGCAGTGTATAGGATGTCCCCTAAGGAGTTGGAGAAGCTGCGCAGACAGCTAGATGAGCTCCTCGAAAAAGGGTGGATTAGGCCTAGTTCGTCTCCATTTGGAGCACGTGTACTCTTTGTCCCCAAGGAGGGATAGCTTAGGATGTGTATTGACTATAGGGGTCTTAACGCCGTGACGGTGTGCAGAACCACTGCCCCGTATAGATGATTTGTTAGATCGGGTGTAGGGCTGCATGTACTGTTTTAAGATAGACTTGAAGTCAGGGTACCGCCGGATAGAGGTTTTCCCTGACGATCAGTACAAAACGGCGTTCAAAACGAGATATGGGCATTATGAGTTAATAGTTATGCCCTTCGGATTAACCAATGCATGCATGAACGATTTGTTTAGGTCGTGGTTAGATAGATTCATAGTTGTTTATCTAGATGACATTCTGATTTTTAGCAAGACCATCCAGGAGCACGAGGTCATCTGAGGCAGATCTTGGAGAAGTTGTGCGAAGCAAATTTCAAGATCAATGCGAAGAACTGCGAGTGGGGCAAGATAAAGATTTTGTACTTGGGCCATGTTTTAGATGGTGACGACATAAGGCCTGAGGGCAGCAAGATCGCAGCAATCAAAGATTGGTCAACGCCGCGTACACTCACAGAGTTGAGATCGTTCTTAGGACTGGCTAACTATTACAGGAAGTTCGTAAGGAACTTCTCTGCAATCGCTGCTCCCCTTCGCATACTGCTAAAGAAAGAGGCAATTTGGAAATGGGACCAAGATTGTACGTCGGCCCTAAAGAAGTTGAAGTGGGCCTTGATAGAGTACCCAGTCCTCAAGGCAGCTGACCCATCCTTACCCTTTGTTGTTACAACTGATGCGAGTCAGTATGGAATTGGTGCTGTTTTACAGCAGGACGATGGCAATGGGTATAGACCTGTAGAGTTCATGTCCGCTAGGATGCCTTCAAAGAAGGTGGCGACATCTACCTATGAAAGGGAACTCTACGCTCTCAGGCAAGCATTAGACCACTGGAGACATTACTTGCTTGGGAGGCACTTCAAAGTCTACTCGAACCACGAAACATTGAGGTGGTTGAAGACGCAGGTCAAGATGACGCCTAAGCTTAGTAGGTGGGCCACAGAAATAGACCAGTTTGACTTTGAGCTCAAGCCATTCAAAGGAAAGTACAATGTGGTTGCAGACGCCCTTAGTAGAAGAGGCGACTACTTTGGAGCCATAGTTCACTATCTGGATATAGGGTCAGGCTTACAGCAAAAAGTTGCAGATGCGTACGCGCAGGACCCTATCTATAGCGTATGCGCAGGACCCTATCGCCTCAAAAGTGTCAAGGAGAATCCAGCCAGAGAGCCCAAGTACCGCATCACTAATGGGTTGCTGTTTGAGAAGACAAACGTCGTAGATCGGCTATCCATTCCCAACAGCGAAGAGATTCCCAGTCTAATCTTAGGGGAATGTCATAATACTGAAGGGCACTTCGGTTGGCAAAAGACATTAGCCAACCTGATTTGTGCCTACACTTGGCCTGGCATAAAAGCTGACTGTATAGAGTATGTGCGTAGTTACAAGGTATGCCAGCGCAATAGAACTACGACGCGAGCCCCGTAGAGTCTTCTCAGACCCCTGCCTATCGCATCAGGACACGAAGATTCTTGTGTCCATAGATTTCATGGATGCTGGGGTCAGGAGTAGGCATGGCAAGAGCCAAGTCATGGTTGTAGTCGATAGATTTAGCAATTCTGAGGGACGTACAAATCTAGTAATAGAGAAGTTATTTGATCATTGGGTCAGTGAGCATGGTCTACCACTGTCAATAGTTAGTGACAGAGATACCAGGTTCACTAGTCAGATCTGGCAGGAACTGATGAAGGTGTATGGTTCTAAGTTGCTAATGTCATCTGGCCGTCATCCAGAGACTAACGGTGAGACTGAAAAGATGAACAAAGTCCTGCAACAAGTTCTGAGAATGTACATTAGACCTGATCAAATCAACTGGGACGAGATGCTCCCAAAGCTAGCCAGTGCATATAACAACAGTGTTCACTTAGCCATCTGTCGCACTCCCAACGAATTGCATAAGTCCTTTAGACCTCTGTTACATGCCCAGTTGGGCGATGTATATATGTATAGCCAAGGATCCGCAATGTGATGAAAAGGACTGAATGGACAATGCAGTGCTAGTGGAATCTCAACAAGCAATGTACATCCTGATACATACAAAATGGCGCCTTGTAGCGCAGCGGAAGACTTAGATATAAGCCTTGACCTGACCGGGACTGACCTCTCTCACGTAGTATAAGACAGCGCAGCGAAATGCTAGAATACCAATGACTAACCCAATCAATGTTGCAATGCAAACCAAACATGCATCATCCTCACCACAAGGTGTGAAGGGCCTGGCGCTACACACAGGGAGAATGCGCCAGGTCCAGGACCATACACATACGAAGAGAAGGGGATCAGACGAAGAAGAGGAGGAAGATGGGAATGTCGTCAACACCAAGTCTTCGGTACAAGTCCCAGATAATCCCTCGTCAAATGTCTGAAGCCCAATGTCGAGTCTGGATCCAAATGTCACCAAGCCCGCTCTCTCATAGTCTGCTGATGCAGTGAAATCAGGTAGCGAGAGGGTGAGAGGGAGATGGTGGACTGAGAAGAGGAAGAAGAAGAACTCTCTCTCTCTCTCATGTGCCAGGTACTAACCTGTGAAGATGGCGCTGTTTTGCAGGTACCTCAACGACAAGCTGGAGCTATGGCGCTGCAGGTAAGTCTCCCTGGCGTCCGCCCAATTTCTATCTCTCTCCAATGCTACTCTAGCTCCTAATAGCGCCCAGCGCTGAAGACTACTGCTAACGCTACTGCTACTACTGCAGCGCTCCTCCAGAATGCTGCTGCCGAATCCTGAAGACTACCTTCTGCCTCCTGAACTGCACGTGAAGTGCCTGGGAAGTCCCTATGAACTACCTGCAGCCTGCAGGGCGGGCCAGTCTTATATAGTGCTGGCCTGTCAGGAGGCTGCTCTTGCCAATGCCAAAACGTGCCAGACCCTGGCGTTGAAGCTCAAACAAAGGTTGTCTTGAAAACAGGCCCAAAATGGCCTGTGCTAAAACCCTGGTCTGGTGCCTGAGTTTCAGGGCAGGCCGATCTTATAAGGGCCTGAGAATGGCCCTCCGTTTCAGGCTGAAAAGACTGAGGGCCTGGAGGGCCCTGTTTTAGGCTGAAACGACACAGGGCCTGTAGGCCCTTGTTTTCAGGCTTTCAGACTGAAAGGACCCAGGGCCTGAAAATGGCCCTTGTTTGCAGGCGCAGCATGTAACACCTCGCAGACCATTCGAAGGACTGAATCGGGATCAGATTCAGAGGCTACCGCCCGGTTCTAGAGAGTTTGCATTATATGGAGGACCGTGGCCAGTCCTAGAAGTCAAGGGTGGAGAGGATGGACCATCCTACACGATAGAGATCCCAGCACACCAGTGTTGCACCCCCCGACGCTGGCGGCCCTTGACTGGTTGGCTGCAAACCCGCCGACCGATCGGCTGGTCGGCACCCTGCCCCCAAAAAAATATATATATATATTTTTATGTTTTTGGGGTCCAGATCCCCTAGTAACACCACCAACACCCTCATAGCGGCCCCCAATACCCCCATACACCCCCAAACC